CGAACTACACTGCAGCGCTACATTGGATATATTGCTTCAAAGCCTGATTTCCAGAAGCCGACAATCCGCCTTCTCGGAAAGGTCATCGATGCGCTCATCTTGTCAAAGAAGAGTTCAACCTCAGACACCATGGAGGTTGATCAAGGGGATGACGCTTCATCTCCTACCGTCAGACGATTAGTCCTCTCGATGCCAAAGGAGGCCCAGTTAAGCACTGAGATTGTAGATACCTTTCTTCCGACCCTCGTCAAGCATCTTCACGAGAAGGACGAATCGGAAGTCAGCTTCCGAGTGCCTGTTGGTGTGACTATCGTGAAGCTGTTGACGCTCCTACCTTCACAGCAGATGAGCCAGAAGCTGGCCGGTGTGTTGACTGATATTTGCCACATTCTCCGCAGTAAATCAGTAGAGGCCCGGGACATGGCCCGTGAGACACTCGTGCAGATTGCCGTCATTCTAGGGCCGACTTTCTTCGGATTCATTCTCAAAGAATTACGAGGGGCCCTGACCAAAGGCTATCAGCTACACGTTTTGTCGTACACAATGCACTCCATCCTGGTTGCTGTTATTCCAGGCTTCGCGCCTGGTGATCTGGATTACTGCCTACCAACCATAGTCATGATTATCATGGATGATATTTTCGGTGTCATTGGTCAAGAAAAGGACGCTGAAGGCTACACTACCCAAACGAAGGAAATCAAGAGCAGCAAGAGCCAAGATTCCATGGAGCTTGTGGCGAAGACTGCGTCCATCACACATCTCATCGAACTTGTTAGACCCCTACAATCGTTGCTGATGCAAAAGGTTGACCTTAAAATCATCCGGAAAATCGATGTTCTTATGGCTCGGATCTCTGCGGGACTCTTGCAAAACCCTGCTTCCAACAGCCGTAACACACTAGTATTCTGTTACGAAATGATCCAGAACGTCTACAAGAGCCATCAGCCAGAGGCAGAGCAAAAGTTGGATCCAAGAATTCGAAAGTATCTGGTCCAGAAGGGCGCCAAGAAGAGTGGCGAACGAGGCAGCACAACGAAGAACACATACAAGATTATGCGCTTCGCGGTGGACATTCTTCGAGCAATGTTCAAAAAGCACGACGAACTGAGGACAGCTGAGAATCTCGTGGGATTTTTGCCTATTCTTGGTGACTGTGTGCTTGATGGAGAGGATGAAGTCAAAATCTCCACCTTCAGGCTCTTGGCCGTCATTGTCAAGGTACCGTTTGCTGAGCAGGATGGGGCGAATATCTACAAGGTTGCAGTCAAGGAAGCTATCAAGAGCGTATCAACCTCATCGTCCACCACCTCGGATCTCTCACAAGCCGCCCTCAAGATGCTTGCTGTTATTCTTCGGGATAGGAAGGATATTGCTGTCAAAGACGCTGCCGTGGACTTGCTCTTGAGCAAGCTCAAAGACGACCTTACCGAGCCACTGTATCGCCATGTCACTTTCAACTTTGTTCGATCTGTGCTGGACCGCCGTATAGAAACTGCTGTCGTTTACGACACGTTGGACTATATTGGAACTGTCATGATCACTAACGACGACAAAGATACGAGAGATCTTGCTCGCGGCGCCTTTTTCCAATTTATTCGCGAATATCCTCAGAAGAAGGCCCGCTGGGCGAAACAGCTTACATTTGTTGTTGCAAATCTCAAGTACAACCGCGAAGGTGGTCGTCTGTCGGTCATGGAGGTTATCCATCTGCTTCTTCTCAAATCATCTGATGATTTTGTTCAAGAAGTGGCTGCCACCTGCTTCTTGCCTCTGTTCTTTGTTCTGGCGAACGATGATAGCGAAAAGTGTCGTCTTGCAGCTGGCGAGCTCCTTAAGGAGGTGTTCAGGAGGGCCGACAAGGAGCGAACGCAGAATTTCCTCACATTGCTGCGAGCGTGGCTAGACAAGGACGAGGCGGTTCTGCGACTGGCGCTTCAGATCTGGGCACACTATTTCGAATCTAACGAGAATTCCTCCAAGAACCGGAAGGATTTCAAGCTGGTATTGAACAAAGTATCCGAAGTATTGGGTGCAGAAAGCCTTGTTGATGTGGATGGCGATCTTTTGGAGTCCACACTAGGCCTGGTTAGCGTTCTACTCGATGTCTTCCCCGAGAAGATCCTCAGCCCTGATCAAGACGATTTGTGGACTTGCATCTCAGGCTGCATGGCCCACTCTCAGACCTCAGTCAAGGTGTCGGCTATCAGATTGATATCTCGATACCTCGCCGATTTTGCCCAAGCTGGAGCTGCCGCGTCGCCTGGAGAACCAACCCCTGGCTCGTACGGTGCCGTCCTCGGGTTTGAGCGAGTTCAGGATACTGTTCGGCTTGCGCTCAACGTGCTCAACAGCACTGGCGTCGACGAGTCTCTCGCAACTGAAGCTGGTCAAGTCTTGATCTTCCTAGGCCCCCGACTGCCGACGCCCGCATCTTCAGTCGATCCTCTCAAGGACAACGAGGAGCTAGAAAACGAGAGCGAGGATGAGTCCGCCGAGAAGCAGCCCAGGAAGAGGGACATCCAATATCTGTTCTGGCGACTGTCAGGTATCCTGAGGAAGGAGATACCTCCCAGAGCTGCTGCTGTCGTTCCCAAGACGGTTGCGATGGAAGTGCTGGAGACCATCTGCCGCCGCTCAGCCAAGGAGCGCCTTGAAAACTCGTTCAGGACTATTCTCATTCCTCTACACCATCTCACTGATCCCTCCATTCCTGTGCCCGTATCCATGGATGAGGTGTTCAAGACGAAGCTCGAGCATCTCAAGAGCAGATCCCAGATCCTCATGGATGCCCTGCAAAAGAAGTTTGGCACCGCCGAGTACAGCCAGCAGCTGATGGAGATTAACGAGGCAGTCAAGGCGAGAAGGCAGCAGCGATCCAGCAAGAGGAAGATTGAGGCCATCGCGCAGCCCGAGAAGTACGGCAAGGACAAGCGCAAGAAGTTCGAGAAGAACAGAGAGAGGAAGAAGGCCAGATCGACGGAGCAGAAAGCAATGAGGCAATCCTACAAGGGGTGGTGAGCGACGGATAGAAAGCATTTCAGGAAGACTTTGAACTGAAGGCATTTGAGGGCGTTTTGGTGGGCTCAAAAGTTCCAGCACCTGGCATGATTCGGAGTTATTTTCCCTATTATTTGTTTATAAACATAAAATATCAGATGGGCCAAACATTAGAATATTACCATGCCCATATAAAAGTATATTTCCACCCTTGAAGCTTCGGGCCTTATAGATAAGCAATCCATTTTATTATACACGGTTCCGAAGCTCTCTATATGAAGGGGATGTACAAAATTCTCAAGCCCAGCGCCGTCTTTATGCGTCTCTAAATGACCTTTCCCGTCGCCTTTTTTTTAATGATACATTGTTGTACTGGATCGTAATGCAGTTATTCATAGCGCCCGAGGACGGTGCAAGAAGATTAAGTGTCATCCTCATAATACACCGCCGCGTTTTAGCTCGTCGCTTCATGAGAGTCTAGACCCAGACTGGCCGGAAGGGCCACCATCCTGTCCATCCTGCGACGCATCCTCCGGCCAGAACTCGATGTCGCCATCCTCGCCCAGGCTCCCGCGCTTTACCAGCTGGCCCTTCTCGCGCATCAGGTCCTCGATGGTGACCTTCCTGTCGCCGAAGATGCCCAGGTGGTCGCTGATGACGTGCCGGTTCCGGCACTCGGGGCAGGTGATGAGGGTCGATCCCGTGTGATACCCCTGCTTGGAGACGTTGTGGTGGGAGCGGTGGCCGCAGGGGACGCAGGTGAAGGAGAGCTGGTAGTAGGCGTTCTTGATATCCGGGCGCGGGCCCTCGGATCTGGGCGCCTCGGCGTCTGGGTCGCGGGTTGGTTCGCGGGGTCGGATTGGCGGTGGTTTGGGGATGGAGTGCGCTGCGCGGATGATCGTCAACCGTGGGAGGTGGGCGTTTGCACTCTGGAGTCGGTGGGTTGAAGCGGTTGGTAGAGAGGGGACTCGGTATGGGACTGGTTGGCGGAGAGTTCGCAGAAGGGGCGCGAGGGCCCTTGATGGTCTCGACGACATTTTTGTTGCGTGGAAGTGGATTTTTATTGTTCGCCAAGAGGTATGTCGTAGATTGGCGTGGCGAAGAACCGAAAATTGGCAGTGTAGATAAAAGGGAAGATAGATTTTGCTGTCGTTGCAGCCTCGAAACGATGTTGGATTAAAATCTGGGGACAAACGGTGGAGGGACGTCATTGGTCTCTGGCCTGTAAAGAGCTGTCACTCTAATCCCTGTTTGTCCCACTAGTTGAGATGTACATTGATGCCCCTCAACGCATTCAAGGCATGTAGTTACGAGCTCTGCGGAGTTATATTTACCTGTGAAATTATCATTGACTGGAATGAAAAAAGAAGAAGAGGGATACCGATTGTTCTTTTAATTTACTACGCCACATGTAAATTGGTTTTGCTAGACATCTTCAAGCTCTTGAAGGTAGATTAAAGACTGGGCAGAAAAATACCTTATGATTTCAAAAGGTTCGTCTTTGATTGGCTTTGGGTTTCAAGAACCTTCAATTTAGTTACCTGAGGGAAGTAACATGATCAGAAAGCGCATCCATTGCCATTGAATGATCTATATTGCTTTCATTCTTGGCGGGTGTCACTGCACCTCCACGACCGAGTCCATCTAGACAGCAAGAGCGACTACGAATCGAGCTGCAAATCATTGGCAGTCCTACAATGGAAAGGGTCATTGTCATTATCGAAGTTTCTACTAGAATGGAAGGAGACACCTGCGATCAGAAGCCCCATAACTCGCTTGGAGGCACCTCACTCAGCAGCGGTGTCGCTCCTGCTAGATCTGTTAGGAGCTAGAGCTGTGTATAAAGAAGGAGAACGGAACTCTCAGACCTTGTTTACAATTCTTCCCATAAACAACTACAGCTCGCAATCCATATACAATCGCAAAATCGAAAGCAAGCAGATTCTATCCTCAGCAAATCCTATCCCACTACTCAACGTCTTCCTATTCTCGAATTTCCAGCCATGGCCCCACACTGGATCAAGCTGCTCTTGTCATTTCTTACCCTCTGGGGCCTCGCCACAGCCCAGAACTATGACCTTGACCAGGCCATTGGCATGATGAACCAAGCCCGCCAATCTCGAGGGCTTAAGCCTCTGCTTTGGAGCAATGACTTGACCAACAGTGCTACGTGGTGGGCCACCCAGATGGCTATTGGTGCTGCGCCTTTCGCGCATGCACCTCCCCAGTACCGGCAGAAGCAGGGCGAAACTCTCTATGTACGTCAATCGGCAAGGTGTGATGCTGCGTACGACAACCCGTTCCAAACAGCCGCATCAGCCTAGCTTGCTGAAGGGTCTCTTTGGAATGGCCAGCCCATCTCCACCGGACGGGAGCAATGGCTTCATTGGTGTGAGTAAAATTATATGGCGACCTTGTCTGCACCCGCTGATGAATACTCGCCAGCTCAAATCATGTGGGCGTCTACAACACACATCGGATGCGCTCGGACGTTTGGTATCGGGCAGCCTTACCAGGTTTTCGACGTCTGCAGATTTTACCCAGAGGGGAACTTGTATGTCTGCTAATATCCGATTCCTTACCCTCAACCTCAGGCTGCTTCCTTTGGCTAACTTTGGACCCGCAGTCTTGGACAGAAGCCTTTTTAGCAGGCTTGAGGATCCATAAAATGTACTCCAGGCTGAAGAAGCAGATCGGGGATTCGGGCGCTTGAAGATCGAAGCAGAAGGTTAGGGGTCTATTCAGATTGGTAATTTTGGTCGAGAAAGCATTTCTTATCTGTTTTGTGAGACGTTTGCATGCAATTCAAGTTGCTTGCAATGGGTTGTTAGGTATTAGTAGAACGTCAATCATCAAGGCCCTATTTGTTCGATATTGCTGCTGTACCCATGTGCTAAGGAAGTCGTACAGGAGTGGACCTGCCCCTGCACGTCAAAGTCAAATGCCCCATTCCTGATATGATTACATAACATGCGCTGCAGGGTAGCTGGTGGGCGAGTGGGTCCAGGCCCGTGCAAAAAACAGACTGAACCTCTCTCTGCCCTGCGCCATGGCGACGGCCGACGCGACTTGACGGACAAGTGAACAGCAGGATTGGATCGCGATTCGCACCGCATCGCCAAACAACCCGAATACCGGACATTTGACCGACGCCCATATCCACTAATTGTCTACGCACCCGCAACCTCAATAATTTTGCCCTTCCCAGGTTGTTTGCCGACAATTCTTCAGAAGTCCTCTCCCTGCGCTGCGAGATCGCCAAATCCTTCTCCACCCACCACCTCTGGACGAGAAGCAGCGCTTCGTTCGCTACACCGAATTTCCAACCAGATCCCCCGCGCCAATGAGTTTGAGATAGGCCTGACTCAACAGCCTCTCACTCATTGCGCAAAATGGAGCGATCAAAGCCCCAGGCTTTCCTGTCGAGCTACGCGCCGCGCCTGCGTGCCTACAACAACTCGCTCCTCACTCCCGTCCTCCCTAGTGCGCCAGTAGCACCTCTCTCCAGGACCACCAAGCGAGGCACGACCATCATTAACTACGCCGAGGATGGATATGATGACCTCGAGTACGATAGCGATGATCGCCGACGGCCCACAGGACTGCGCAGTTTGCGCAAGGAGGACTCAGCTTCCAGGCAAGACCTTGTGGACAAGGCTGGCAAGGAGACTAGACGTCCGGTTGACGTCCAGGGAATATGGCGCGACTGGATAGGAAAGACCCGGTATGTCAGGACGGACCAGCAGAATGCCGCCCAGGCCAGCCTGCCCCTGACGCTGATTCCCATCCGAATCGACCTCGACATTCCCTCCTTTGTCCCCCCGGCGCCATACCCCCCGCCAAATCCCAATTCTACCGACATTTCTCTACCACAATACCGGCCGCAAGAGCCAACGGTACCATATAAGCTTCGGGACATCTTTTGCTGGAACCTGCATGAGACCCTCATCACAACCGACCAGTTCGCTCAGACCCTGGTGCAGGATCTTGACCTCCCTAATCGCCAACACGCCATTGCAGAAATCAGCAAGCAGATCCGCACGCAACTAGAAGAGTACTCAGGAGTCGCTCTTCATCCCCTCTTCCACGCAGAGACACAACAGACACAGCAACCGACACAGACGTTAACAAGCGGGAATGGGACCTCCAACGGAGTTGTGAAGGCGCAATCCGCCGACTCTCCCGCTTCCTTACCAAGGGCAACATCGAGACCAGATACTCCTGCGCAGACCGGAGGGGCCGCAACACCCTCCCAAGCCCCCACTGTTGACACTCCCAAGGTGACGGCGGAAGCGACACCAATCTTACCGGGCTCTGATGATTTCAACCCCGACGACACGTACCGATGCATCATTAACCTGAACCTGAATCTCTCATCTACGCTATATACTGACAAATTCGAATGGTCTCTGCTGCATCCACCCGGAACGGCGGAAGCATTCGCCAAAATGACGTGCGCCGACTTAGGTCTGACGGGCGAGTGGATTCCGGCCATGACACACGCCATCTACGAGGCGGTACTGCGCCTGAAGAAGGAAGCGTGCGAGGCGGGCGGGATCGTCGCAGGATGGGGCGGGTTGCAGCAGGAACTCCCCAACGACGCCGCCCACGGCACGGAGGCCGGCTGGAGGTACGACCCGGACCACCTTGCCGACGACTGGGAACCCAAGGTCGAAATCCTCAGCAAGGAGGAGATGGAGAAGCGCGAGGGTGACCGCGAGAGGCAAGTCCGCCGCCTGCGGCGAGAAACCGCCCGCTTCAGCTCCACGACCGGCCTGCTGGGCGGCACGCCCGTGGGCACGGTGGACGTCGAGGAGGAGCGGATGGGACGCGGCGAGCGGTCCAAGAAGAAGCGCCGGTTCAGGAGTCTGAGTCCGCTGGGCCGATCCGGGACTCCCGGCGGCCGTGGAACCCCAGACGCCGGCGGCTACGGCGGCGGTGGTTCGCTCGCCGATGCAGAGCGGCTGTCGTGGCGCTGCTCGCATTGTCGCATCTGGGGCTCTGGTGTCTGGGCCGTGCGAGATGGCCCTGCTGGGCCTAGAGTAAGTCCTTCCTCATTTCGAAATTACTCTGTTCCCTTTTGCCCCTGCCCGTGAATTTGAGACTAACCCCCCTTTTCTTCAGACTCTATGTGCCAATTGTGGTTACATGTACGAACATGACCGGAAACTGCCCCGCCAGACAAAGAATTTGCACATGCAGGATATCCGTGTCATCTAGAAAAAGACACAAACCTAAAAAAATAAAAGAAATCCAAAAGGAGAAGAACAAAAGGAAAAACAGCAATTCACTGGGAATGGGGATAAGCGGTTGCATGTTGGAAGGGATTCCGGGGAAAACAGGGGGGAGGGGGGGGAAGCTTGCCGGCAAAGCGCCACAACGGCCACCATCAGGCTCATCTGGATTTTTCTCATGCGATCCCCCTTTTTTTGAAGACTGACCATTGGGTGGAGTTGACTGACATGGGAAATGCTGGCGAGCTTTTCTTGTAACTTAGGTCTTTTTTTTCTTTCTTTCTTTCTATATTTTCTTTTCTTTCTGTTTCCCTCTATACTTTTTTTCTCGGGTATCCAAGTTATGGTTGAGGTAGATGAAGAGATCAGGCGTCCCGGTAATATGAAATCGCGGTGGGTACAACATTGCTGCCGTTTCTCTTTTTATTCCTTTCGCGCCCGGATGTTTGCTGTGGTGATGGGAACGGCTATGTACAGATAATCAAAACTCAGTGTAAGATGTGATGGGTAGTTCTAAAAAGATCTCGCATGGGGCATACTGTGAAAAAGGTTTCAAATCGAGCAAAAATGAAAAAGTGCATAAAATCTCACCGATGGGTATAGAAGTCTGTAAACACTATCCTTTATAACCTAATTGTGCCCGCCCTGTGTAATAAAATCTCCCATGTATCAAGCCTAGCCAAAATGCACCGTTGTCCGTCCCATCATAATGAATAAAAAGATAGCAAATAAATCCCAAAAGCCCCTCACTGTCTTCCTCTCATCTGCGCCACATTCACGCCAACCCACCTCATCTCTCTCGCTTGTTGCTGCTGCGACTGCTGCGGTTGCTGCTGCAGATTTTGTGCGGTCATTGGTATTTGTCCATTTGTCTGGAAGTGGTTTGAAGGTTGATCAAGCACAGCTTCCTGTGAATCCCTTTGCATGGCAAGTCGCTTGATGGTTTTTGTTGAGATTCCCTCAAAGCTAAGCTTCAGCATTGCAGACTCCTCCCACCTTTCGCCAAACTTTCCAAGTGTGTGACCCACACGTTCTAGACAGTACAGACTCCTGCGAAGGTTATCTGGCCTAGTCATCCCGTGATTCAGTGCATATCTTGGAACCGGGGGAGGCGGGGGACCTCCGGGACGTTGTAGCGGCACTGGCACTTGCGCTCCAGTCAGAAGCATGTTTTCGGCAGCCCAGAGAACGGCAAGAAGCTGGGTGGCCATGAAATACACTTTGAGAGCATCGTGATAAGTGTAGAAGGCGCTTGTCCATCCATTTTGCACAATGGCGTGCATGGTATCAAGGTAGGCAATCGAGTATTCAAAGATAATAGTTCGGTGGTAGTCGCTGATCTGAGGGACTCTCCCTGAAGGAGAGATACAGTACACATAACTGTACCTAAGTTCCTGCTCAAACATCTGTCTGATAGCTGGGGAGAGCGTTGCGGGTAACGACTCCCCCCATTCGCGCATTTCCAAGCACATTTGCCAGACATATCCGATAGGGTCTTGCAGTGGGGTTCCTGAGTGGGATTGGTAGAGCTCTTGGTACCAGAAGGATTGTGCGCGTCGGAGTTGAAAAAGTAGCAGTGCAGAGTCAAACGATTGCGGCGTTGTAATTGCCACCTGCGAAGAGTCCTTCATAGAGGTTGCGGGGAACGCGACATTTGCGGCATCGTCAGTAAAGGAGAATGTTCGAGCGTGGACCATGCTTATTGCACTTCAGCCATGTTAGCATGGAATCTTCAATTTTCTCCAGGTCAATAAACAGGCCAAGGACGGTGGCTTACCGATCGAGACTGTACACTGAGTAGAATATCTTGCGGCGCATGTCCAGGGCAGCTTTGTCGCTCAATGAAGATACAGGTGGGTCTTGATGAAGGCCCAAGTCGACAACTGCCCGAGAGGTGAAGCCGATCAAATGCCAGCTGTCGAAGTGCGCTGGGTCAAGCATCGAGTATTGGGTTAGTAGAAGCAAAGACTGTATTTGAGTAACGAAGCCTGGAGCCAGTGCATTCTCTGCAAATTCCAAGGCTTTTGAAATATAACCTAGACCACTCGAATAGTGCTCGTCGTAGATACTTTTACTCTGGGAAGCAGAAGCAATGGCCAAGACCAGGTAAAAAAGCCAATAATCGGAGTCTTTGATGAACCGCCCATCTTGCTGGTAAATATCGTCTAGGATATTTAACAGGGCTGTTTCTGAGAAGAATGGAAGGAGAGAAAATATGTTGACGAGGTAGAATTGGACAAGTGCGTGGGCAGCTTGCCTCGGCGGCAAGACGAACTGTGGATTGGGCTCTGGCAACGAGCCGTTGGTAGCGGCCGTCAGAACTAACCTAGCAAAGGTCATGTTGCCAGGAGTTGCCTCGAAGTCTCGAGTGTTCGCACTGACTGACCTAACGTGAAAAGTTAGTACAACTCAGGCACCATGGGTGGTCAGAGGGACATGGATTGTTTCGTACAAAAAACCAAAGTCGGAGACAATGGAGTTAACATCAGAGTTCTCTCGACTTCTGGCAGCCTTGCGGTGAATGGCGGCTTTGATCTTGGCTAACGAGTCACGACGATCAACCTGCTGGGCTAGGATCGCCATATCAGGCTCGTCAAATGCAAGAGAAGCCTTGCGCGTCTTAGCATACTGAAGTCGCCTTTCAAGCTTCTCTATACGGAGCTCCAGGGCAGCCACGTAGCTAGGATAAACTGTCAATTGAGATCCGTAACTCTCGTGTTTGAGATTGGCATTACCTTCGTTCCTTGCCTCTGGCAAACTGATCATTTGCGGCAGAACATTCGTTTTCACGGCCTGCCTTTTCACATGCTGTGCATGCAGGAAGCTTCCCATCACACTATTTCACGAGTACCATGTTAGTGCTTGATACAATGATGAAGCGAGAAAATATTTAAGACAGGAGTCGCATCTCAGACCTTTACTTTTGCTGCTCGGCCTGTGTCGCATCCATACATTGGTCAGCCTATCCGAAACAAACAACCCCGGCCAATAAAATTGAATTTCACTTACATCGCGAGCAAGCTGATACAGGCCTGGAGACCTTCAACAGAGGGTTTAGGGAGAAACTGCCTCGAGGCATCTTTAAATCGAAGTAATCGAAGCCTCAGACGGCAACGACTCCGGGCCTAGATTCGGAGGCTCGTTCAGAACGAGTAGGGCCTTCACTCGTCTTGAAGTGTCAGAGTGGTGAAAGTAATTGAAATGAAAACGGTCAACGAATAACAGCCCCGCATGTAAGAGCACTGTGACCAGACAGCCGCTCTCTGCGGATACGGAGTGTCCGAAGGACTCTGTGGTAGGTGCGACAGTGAGATGAGATCGAATACAGGTAATACCGGGAAGGACGAGAGGGGCGTATAGTCTTGTGCTTGGATGATGAGAGGAGGCGAGCCAAGGCAGGACAAGGCAGGGCCAGGTAAGGCAAGGGAGGCAGCGGAAGGGTGAGTGAGTAATTGGATGAGTGAGTGAGTGGATGAGCAGCGCACCACTGAATCAGACAATGGTAACTACTAGTAGGTAGGGGTCCACTGGGCTGCTGTGCCGGGTTTTTGGGTCAAGTCGGAATGCTGGGCTAGTGTTTTCAATGTGTCTTATACAGGCCGGTGGGTAGTTGTTGGGCGTTTCTCGTTTGCTGGCGCATCAACTCAACTGGGGGTTGCCGGAAGGAAGAGTCGGTCAAGAAGCACGGAGGGATGAGCCGAGGGTACAGATAGATCGCGCGCTGAGAAGGCAAGGCTGGCACCAGGCGTTCAGCGGCTGGGGGGGCGGACACTGATGGTTTTTGCTGTCAAGCTGGTCTGGTGGGATTATGTCCTTGTGGTGGGGTACAGGATGGATGCTGGGGTTCTTCTGGAGGGACCCAACCATGTACCCAGCCGATGCGAGAGTGCGGATTCGGCCACCAGGCAGCAGAGAAGAGAGGGCTCACGCGGCAGAGACGAGGCCCGGGTTGACTATGGCGCTATTCCAGAGTATCGTCGGGACAGCGGCAGGCTTAAAGAGCTGATACTGCGTCGTGGCTCGTACGAGGGACGTGGGAGAAGGACCTCTTAGTGGTGCTGGATGGAGGGGAAGGCAGGATGTGGGCAGGGAGTGGGGATGGGTGGGGAGCACCTGCCTACCTCCGTCGAAGGTACTGGGCCGGCGCAGATGTATTAAAAGGTACTCGCGGCACCGCTTTCGGTACACTAAGGGATCGTGGCTCATCGAGGGAAGGAGTTGCAAGCTGACTGTTTCCTCGTTACAGACATTTATAATTCGCAACCTTGCCTATTGCAGCCGCGATGACTACCCGCTGGATACCACCTCATCTGGATGGCGGCCCAGAGAAGCATGCGCTGGATTCGATAACCTTTCTGTGCTTACCCAGAACAAGAGGCCCATTCTGCAACCCCCACCGCGCTGGACAGGTACCTGCCTGCATGTACACGGAGGGCCGGCGCTGTACCGGAACGGTGATTGCGACATCGCGCGGTACCTCTGCCCAAGGTACCAGATATAAATATAAATAAAGCTTGGCCAGTTGCTGGGTAGAGACCCTAGTTCGCCGCACTATCTGGCCTGGAAGACAATCCATGTCGCATCAAGGTGTGTCACTCGGAAGGGTCCTCGACACGAACCTCAAAGCGACATAGAGGCGGTGTCATCACGAGGGCTTGAAAAGAACATACACCCGGTTCCTGCTCCATGGGGTAATGGAGCAGAAAGGCGCGAATTATGCCGGCCTATATAGGTAGGTACGCATGCCGAGTTTGGGCTCCAACTACACGTGCCGCCCAATATAGGTGGCTTGAACTCTGTGTAACCAGCCTGTGGCTGTTGTTGCTATAATCAGCTTATCAGAGTTGACATCAATGAGAGTTTGAAGAGCCTGTTGACTGCATTCCTGGCGGTTCACCAAAGGCTTTGATGATCATTGTTTGATGTCATCACTGCCTCTGTTGGTTATATTTTTATGCTCTCCTTGATTTTATAGTAGGCTATAGGTGGTCGAGTAGTAGTACAGTTTCCTCCCTGGGGAAAGGGCGGGAAAACTTGTTTCAATGAAGCCCTAATAAAAGAAATTTTGCCATGCGGAAAAATGGGACCGGAGGTATAGCGATATCTGTAATGCTGCGGGTTTGTGTCGTAACAGCTGGTTCTGAAACAGCCAAGGCGCAACTGTGTAAGCTTGTCAACATGGAACTCAATTAGTTGGCCGCTCCTCCGCACGTAAATATCACTTTCAATTGAGCCGCTGCCCTGCGCCCGTCCCGAAAAAAAGAGAAATATAGAGTGCACTGCCATGCAGAATTACGCAATTGGAAGCTAGTCATTCGGCCTCAATTGTACGTTCTAGCACTTCCGCAGGCACCTCGGTATCGCATCATTGGATACCTCTGGCGGCAAGCCAAGTATATGCATGGATGTGGCTCGCTTCTCCACAGGCACCGCTGTCAGTGTTGGTAGGCTTGGAGATGTGGGCTGGTGTTTTGAATCTGCAATCATGTAGTGACTCGCCGCAGACTCCTACATGTTGATATAAATATACACTGAAGCATGAGTTGGTTCAGGAAAACTTGACCATGTTTGTGTTCCTGCTGATGTCTGCTGCCACTGAGTCGGTACAGGATTGAGTCTCTGCGCCACAACGGGTTTAGCATGGGATTTGGCGCAGGCCCAAACGTCAGCCAATGAGATCGTGCAGCAACCGATGAAACTCAGTGACAGACAGGGCAAAAGCCTAGACTTGCTAATGTGAGAATCCCGTCGCCATCTCCCGCCCGGACGGTGTCGGGAGGAACCCTAGTATATCGATGGTTCCACGTACGCATTCCTGGCGGCTGAGACGATGTTATCTTTATCTTTGGCCTGCTGACTCGACACTGGAGTTCGCAGGCAGAGTAAGAATGGCCTCTGGATAAGCTTGAGGGGGTGGCCAAGCATGATGTGACTTGCTCAAACCCTCCGAGGCTACTTTTAGACTTCCACTCCCTGCCTACCTCAGTAGCAGGTAGTGCCCACGCCTAAGTACGCACTATAGCCAGCTACTACGGGCAATAAATTAGTACATACATGCTAACCAGCAGGCAGGGAGCCAGCGGGCTAGTCGGTGCAGTTTAGCACGATATAGGTAGGTACCTACCTAGCGGGCCTGCTTTGACACCTGTGGTTTGGGAAGGAACGAGCGAGGATCCTGTCGAGACACGGCTGCTGGCAGGGCACCCTGGATGAGGCTGGGACTAACACTTGCTTTGCCACAGCCTCATCCCACCCAGCTCGTGGCCTCAGCGGTCCCTGGTTCCTCAGACCGGCTTGCCCAGATGCGACCTATCGAAGGCGTGGCACATGTGTGGACGTGCTATGGAAGCTTCGGCTAGGCCCCGCGACATCACCCACCAAAAACCCAACTCCCGCCAAACCCCGGTCAGGTGGACCCCTCCCTCCACTTCACGCCGGACCTGTCTACGCATTCTTGAATCAACCCTGTGCACTCGCATCTGTCCAGTCCTGCTCTTCTTGTGTTAGCAGATTTACCTTTGGCGGATGCGAAATCGCATTGATCGGGGACACCATTCAGAGTTTGCTTTCTGCACAGTGATTCAGCGCCATTGCTTCTTCTCTTCCACGTTCTGGTCATCGTCGGATTGCGCTTATTTTCTTTCATCCTGCCCTCCGATCGACATAGGTATCCAATCGCCATCTCGAGACCAGAACCATCACTTGACGGCACCAACTCTAGCTCCGGCTAAAGTTCATCGCCGACACGCTTCTGGGACGCCAGCCGGACTGCCACCCAGCACGAAGCCATCGCGACGTCACCTGCTTCTCCATGGACCCCGCACATGTCTTCCGCCAGGGCCTGGGATCAGTCGCACCTCGGCAGTATCATAACCAGGCCCTGAACCTCCCCAGGCGACGCACGCCTGCTCGCGATGAACTGAGTGATGAACACCAGGGAGATGGCTCGGGTAATCGCATCGCGCATACCTTGACTGCCTGTTGCCGTTGTCGCCAGGTATAGTCCCGACCTCACACCCAAGCTCGAGTGCTTCTGCGCTTCTTGCCTTCCCTGCCAAGCCCTGGTTGTTATTCTATGTTTGCTTGAGGCGATGGAAAGCTAATCACATCTTCTCCCAACAGAGGAAAACCAGATGTGACCCCACGTTGCCACGCTGCCTCCCTTGTGAGCGATCCGGGTCGACATGCGAATACCTTGATACAGCCAAAGGCCGGAAAATCAACCGTTTCTATGTCATCAAGCTGCAAGACAAGGTCAGGGCGCTCGAGGCCGAATTAGATCAGTATGTCGACGATGAGGCCGACTACCCGCATAGCAGCGAAGATATGGTTCGACCAGGAGGAATGGTGAGACTTGGCTCCGGAGACGAGACTCCTCGCTATCTTGGTCCAAGTAGCGGCATAGCCATGACACGCCTTCTTATGGAAGAGGCGAAACGCTTCACAGAGTCGAATCGTATTTCCGAGCTAATTCCCGAGCTCAAAAAGCGAAGAGAGGCTCGCATGCAATCTATTCAGATGACGGGGCCAGTTGGACGCCAGAGAAGCTTCCCCAAGACAAGCCAGGTACCCGCCGAGAACCTCCCAGGGCGGCCCATCGCAAATAGATTAGTTGAAATTTTCAACCAGAAATGTGAGTAGGATCAAAATTGACCTCGCATTGGCAACGCTGACACACTATCCTTCAGCGCAAATCTTTTGGCCCGTGGTCCATGAACCAACGTTCCAGAAAGATCTTGATGCCGTATACAACGGAGACACTGATGTGTATAAGTGGTTCGTTGTACGCATCGTACTTGCCATCAGTCTCCAGAAGCTTGGAGACCAGTACGCCGGCCTGGCCGACAGCTATTACCTTGCCGCAATGCAAGATTTTGAAACCGTGCTTCGGCCCAAGGATCTCAAAACACTGCAATGCCTGGTTCTGATTGGGCTGTATTCCATCCTCACTCCTACTCGAGTCCCTGTCTACTTTGTCATTGGCCTTGCAGCCAAAATCTGTCAGCAGGAGGGGTTGGTGTCTGAAAAGACGATAGCAGCAGGTGACAAGCCTAACCCTCTAACTATCGATATGCGGCGACGCCTCGTATGGGTCGTGGCTAGCATGGAGTTTGGTCTCGCTCATAGCCTCGGGAGGCCTAATAGTTTCGCAACAGCCGACGAACAATTGGATGTCGGGTTCTTCTCCACTGTCGAGGATGATTATATTACTGAGAATGGCATCGACGCGAATGCCCCGACCAGCGATCGAAAACTTGTTGCAATTCACTTTTATCGAATGAGAATCCTTCAAGCGGAGATTCGTAGAACGTTATATGAAAGGAAACGGCCAGAACCCAAGGATGATACGAGCCATTGGTTTCAGCAGATGGAACAAAAAATCACTGACTGGCTAGACTCGGCGCCAGGGAACCCAGAGTGGTGTAGAAAGTGGTATGTACCTCCGTCCCTATTCTTCTGACATGACGCTGACATGGAAGCGTGTACAGGTTTGCTGGCCGTTGTCACCAGATGAGGATCTCAATGTACAGGCCGTCGCCACAAATATCCAAGCCGTCGGCAAAGGCAGCGTTGATTTGTTACGAGAGCACCAAAATCATCATTGACCTTTCAAGACAGCAGGTTGAAGCCAATGTCGTGGACATAACTTGGGTTTTCATCTTGGTTCTGAACATGGCTCTAAATACTCTTCTATGGACCACGTCATACGAGGAGGTCCGACAAGACCATCCCCGTGAAGAGGTGGAAGAGCTTGTCAATGGTTCACTCGACGTCCTGGACAGATGCGCAGAGCGTTGGCCCGGAACTGGATCGTCTTCCCAACTCTACGCCGTATTCTCAAAGGCTTGTTTGCAAAGTTATGAGTCCAAAGGATACCAACAGCGCACCTTGGCAACACCACCTGCAGCGACGTCCGAGGCATCCCGATCACCAGATTACCAGTACCAGATGCACGAGAATACTCCACAACAACCGATGTACGCAAATCCTCCACAGTTCGGCCAGGTATTCGATTCACCTCCGGAAACTATTGATAGATATGACCCCAGTTTCCGCCCACCACACCCAACTTTCCGCTCAAACTCTATTTTCCAGAACCCAGGAACTCATGACACCCATGGGCGGAGGTTCTCCTACTTCCCTCCCGACTTCATGCAGAGCGACGATTTGGCCGCCCCTGACGAAGAAACACCACCAAACACAACCCCAACCCCAAATTTCACCACATCTCCTCCGAGCCAAGCATCACCATCGCGACAGTTGCCTACACCCCCGGAATCGTTGGGGAATATGTCAATGGCCACTCCTACCATGTCAACACCCGCAATGCTTCCCATACAGGCTCAGACCCCGAACTCTATGGGCATGTCTGCTTTTGGAACACCAACCCCTGAACTGAATTCAAGGCCGCAGACCTCACCGTTGCCGCCGTATGGGATGACGCCTGTTCAACAGCACACGCCGGTCCAGCGACCCCTTCCTCAGGAACTACCTTCGTCCAGCGAGTGGTTCACCCCTCCCGCTTCATTCATGAATCCGTACAGCTTCGGAACCATGGGGGGCGGTTTTTACGGAAGCGGCCTACCTGCTTCTGGCCAGTATCAGGAGTTCTCGGGAGCTGGATTAGGGTTACAGGCTATGAATTTCGGTGCTGACGGCTCCCAATTTTCCCCGGTGGCAGTTCGCCAAGACAGTCTAACCCAGTCCCAGCAGCTTGAACTGATGAACGTGCTGGAGACGGAAGGCGTCCGCGATATCGATACCTTTTTAACTTCGGGTACTATGGTTGCTACGAAATGGTATTGATAACTGGATATCTCGGTCATAGCACAGCATTTTACCTCGTAGTTATTTTTTTGGAAACCGAAATTAAGTAAAGAGGGTACCCAGGGACATGGCGTCTGGATACTTGGGTGGGACATAGCTAGGTTTAGCTCTGCAGGGTGATGACTTCATAAATTGTCTTTGTTTTCTCTTCTTCCTATCTCTGCTTATCCTCGTATTTCTGGTGCTAACTGGCCACGACTCTTTTGTGAATATAGCCTGTGCTAGCTGTGTTTGTTTCGAAATGAGCCCATTTTGCCGAAACATTGTAGAAACCTGGCAAATTCAATAGCAAGTCTGCGGAAATCATCAACCATCTGCGTAATAGACCGAAGCTGCACAACCTATAACCCTTTTGAATGCGCATCTGCATACTAGAGCCAGAGCTAATGCAGAGCCACTCAGTGTTTTCTCCGACAGATCATCCCAAAAAGCCAGCATCCCATTAGACCGGCGGTGAGACCGGGCCTAAATCAGTCCTTGGCGTCCTCTACATCCAGATTCTGCATGGCGGAGGCCACCCCGTCCACCTGAGCGGCGTCGCCGACAGGAGCCTTCTTGGTACGCTTCTTGCGCTTCGTGGTGCCCGTGACGACCGGGGCGTCGCGAACCCAGAGCGCGATAGCGGCGGCGCGCTCGGTCAGGAGCGGGTACTCCTTGGTCTCGTCGGCGGCCCAGCGCTGCGTGGCGGGCGAGTTCTCCGCGCAGTGTTGGCAGAGCGTGTGCACATGCTGGTGGTGCGGCTGCGGCTGCTTCATCTTGTTGATGGCGGTGGTGGCGCCTGGGTCGGTGGTGTAGTTGGATGAGCCGTTCGCCTTGGCGGTTGCGCCCGAGTGCTCCTCCTCGGCGCGCTTCTCCCTTGCCATGATGGCGGCGCGGAAGGAGGCCTCGTCGACGACACGGTCGTCATCGAGGGCTTCAAGGATGGCTCGCTCGCGCTGGCGCTCTTTGCGGAGTTCCTCCGCGACGGACTCGGGCGAGTTGCCGTTCATGAGGGCGGCGGCGGCTGATGCGGCGAGCTCCGGGCTGGACACGGACACGGTCATTTCGGAGGTGGGTGAGTCGAACATGGGTAGCGGCGCGGGGACACAGAGAGTCTCCCAGTTCGAGCTCAGGGTGAGGAAGTTGTCGGCCCTCCGGAGCAGTTCAATCCAGTCAGAGCGGGCGGGAGACCTACTCGCTTGAAAGACAGGATAACCATCACAGAGTCTGACGATGCGGGCAACCATGTATGCGTGACGCTGCAGTTCCTTAACTGAGGTCTGCACCAGGCAGTGGCAAAGGAGAAGAGAATGGAGGGCATCTGCCAGCAATGGGTGGTAGGTGGTCCATTCGCAGGTGGTGGCGGCAGGGTTGTGGTAGATGGTATCAGGGTCGTGCTTTACGAGGTCTTGAGGAGGATACGGTGGCAGCCCGGTAGGTGGAACAGCGCTGAACAGGTCCGAGATTGAATACACAACGTGCTCCGAGATGGGGCTTGTATCCGAGACTCGTGGGTTGCGGGTACCATGAGCGGCGGAGTTAACTCGCTCATTAAAGTCCTTGACAACTCGAGTGGACAGGTTTGGCGAATATTCAAAGTGAGATAGGAAGGCCATGTAGTCCCTCAAGGCTCGCTTCGCCAAGAGCTTGACCGATTTTCGAGCCTCGGCCTCTTTCTTGGACGCCTCGTTGTTTTGACCTTTGCTTTCGGGTTCCTCGTCGCCGTTCGCCGAAGGCCCTGGGTCCTTGGAACTTGAAGGAATTCCTGACGGAAGACCCTCCAAAACATGATTGCAAGCCATGGTCAAGTAGACTGACGCTCTCTGGAATAGAAGCTGCCCCTCAATGCTGCGAGGTTGATCTTTCTCGGCCAAGATGACATCCTGAGCCCTTCTTCTGGCACGTTGCTGATCATAAAGCTGCACCTCCCCGCCGGGCGTCTTCGTGTGGGAAGGCAAATGGTATCGGCATATCTGCAGAGCATGGGTGAGGTCCTGTGCCGCACCGTCGTAGTCCTCCTTGAACACCTTGACAGTCGCTCGCGTTCGCAGCGCCTCTGGCTCCCCGGGGCGCTCGCTGATGATGTCGGTCAAGGGCTGCAGGCTCGTACACTCGGCAAGCTGCCTGGACGGGATCTTCTCGTGGAAGAAGTGGACGTATTTCGCATCTGGATCCTTCTGGTTGCGCTGCAACACGGAGCTTCCAACCTCCTCCAGCGGGGAGGCGCCTTGCATCGTAGCCACACTGCAAGCGATCTCGTCAAGACGGTACGCGCGGGCCAGCTTCTGGCTGGCCTGCTCTCTCATGCGAAACTTTCGCTCGCGGCTCAGTTTGGCGCCATGGCCGGTGCCACCTATTCCCAGGGAATGAAGGCTCGATATATCCGGGATGCCACCGTTGACGTTTGTCAGTGTTGGTGAGGCAATGTCACTAGCAGCCCTCACGGCAAGGTTCGTCGCCTCGTCGACAAGCCGGCGGACCTTGACGAGATCGAAGAAGGAGGCGGGATCAATGGGCCGGGGTCGCGGGGTGTTGTAGTTGATGTTGGCGATCGTCTCGAGAATCTCGATGGGCATCTGGAGCCATGGTCCATGAAAGGCTGAAATGTATCGCCAATGCCTGTTGGCTTAGGGTCAGGGATACGGTCTCCTTCGAGCGCGGGAAGGGGATATGCACAATATCAAGGTACGCAAGTGGTTGGTGTAGTACGGCATGCACTTGAGGCAAGGCCAGGAGCTCGCTCGGCGATACGCAGAGGGCGCGGAGAATGAAGAACAAAACGGGACACGCGCATTGAAGGCGAAAGGTAAGGCAATGAAAGCACATGGTTGGCAAATAACTAGACGACTCACTTATTGCGGCAAATGACCAGCGAGTTCGAGGCTGGGGTCTTGGAGGCGACGGACGGGGACTTTTTGGTGGACTTAGTAGCTGATATCGCCGGGGAGTTGGGCGCAGGCGCTGCAGATGGCGCCATGGTCTCGCTATCTCCAATTGAGGCAGCCTTGCTCTTCTTCTTCGCCATAGCTCAGGCCAAGGGTGTGGTGGCGAGCGAAGACAAGACGTGCTCGCAAAGTCGAGTCAAGTGTTTGCAGCACCACCAGAAATCCCACGATGGGAATGTGGGGGGGATGGAGAATGCGACAGGGCTAGTATTAGATATTCCTGCGCCGCGTGTGGCAGAGGGAGCGTGCACGTAAGGCCGATTGCTAAAGGTAAGGCTGGTCAACAGCGATGCAGATGCAGGAGAGAAAGAGAGAGATAGAAACAGAGGTTCGAGGGAACGGGTGTTTACTTTTCACCCTATGACGAAAGACAGAAAGACATTTAAATCACCAACCTGCAAGTTCGGCAGCGCATTTGGCAGGTACGTACCTTTTTCCCGCTTTGTGGGTGCAGGATGCTGTTGGGCGAGCAGCAGAGAGAAGACGGCCGCAGTGGTCGCGCAGGACTAGGCGGCCAAAAAGAACGAGGTACAGCGGGCAAAAGAACGCACGTAGGGTCACCTCTGGCAGTTCGAGTCCATGTTTGTCCGTTGACAGTTGTGTTCAGGAGTGGCAAGCGAACCGCCGCTTTGAGGTTATCAGCATCACGTGAAATCCCATTCCTACTCTCCCCTCTCCACTCGAACCAACATGCAATTGTTCAACCAACATGCAAATGTTTGCTGCAACCAACATGTAATTGTGCTTCAACTAACATGCAATTGTTCACTCAACCAACATGCACATCTTCTTTTTTCGGTATCACATCCCTTACATACAACCAATGCGGCGAGAATCCTTCGTAACGGACCATAGGAATAGCTTTATAACTGCTTCGTTACATATCATAGTTTTTATCTCCATCATTGCATTTCCTACGAGCCTCACGTCCTTGCAAATCACGGCTGACGAGCGCAAAGAAAAATATGAAATCAATCAATCGTTCAAATGAATTAAAAAACAGATGGGGTATTAATGACCAGCCATCAAGCGACAAAACACAGTCGCGATGGACTTGAAAACACAAAATGCTCATATCTACTTGGTCCATGATACACACAGAAAAATAAACTCATCCGTTCGTGGTCCGCCTCCGCCTAATACTAGATCGTTAGAATACAATGCGGCGTTGGACTGAGTCGTTTCTAATTCTTCACTCCTTTTCTTCTCCTCCCTCAGAACCTCTCAAAAGGCTCTAGCTCTACAGGCCAAAGTAGATGGCGGCACCACCGGCGACGGCGAGGACGGCCGAGGCGGACCACGAGCTGAGACGGCCAGCAGCGTTAATGGGGGGCGAAGAGGTCGTGGCGGCAGGGGCAGATGACGAGGGGATGACAGGGCTGCCGGTGCCTGTTGGCTGGCCGGGGGTGGTGGTGGTGCTGTTGCCCCCAGAGCTCTTCTTAACGAAGTTGGCGCAGGTGATGCGGGTGTTGTTGCCGCCGTAGTGCAGGACGAAGGACTTGTCGCCGAAGAAGGCGGCGTCAGACTTGGTGGTGGAGGCGTAGTCGTCCTGGTAGGTCTTGTCGTAGGTACCGGCACTCTCGATCTTACCGTGCTTGCCGGCCAGGTCACCGACCTCGCAGGTGGCAGGCTTGGAGGCGTCGCAAGTAACAACGGCGCCAGCCTCGTAGGGGTCCAGGTGAGAGGAAGTGGCAGTGCAGTTACCTCCCTCTGGGACGGGCTTGAGATGAAGGTGGTAGGCTGTGATTCGCGGTTAGTTTGTGTAACTAGACTTGTGACTCGAGATGGGCAAGCGCGACTTACTGAAAGGACCACCCGCAGCCGGGATTCCCTCAAAGTGGACGTTGAACTTGACACCGCGTCCATTGTCACCAGCCTGGGCGGTGATGGAACCCTGGATCTTGGGGCCGCCAGGGAAGAAGGAGGTGCCGGGCAGGACAGCCTGGTACACATCGCCGACTGGGTTGTTGTTGGTGACGGGAGCCTCGCGAGCGCTGACCATGGCGGCCGCGGAGAGCATCATGAGAGCAGTCTTGCCGTGCATCTTGAAGGTTGGGCTTTGTCGGGAGAGTCAACGGTGAAGATGGTTGAGTGAGTAGACTGTGAAACCGACGCGAGAGATGGCTCAGCAAACGATTGGGGGATGAAGAAGAAATCGGGGTGGTGATTCCAAGGACGAACCAGAGTGTGGCGGCCGGCACTGTCTTATAAACAACTGGCAGCCCGCGAGCACCAGCTGGTCTGGGGAACGATTCGCGCTCAAGTGAAACAAGGATACACAAGGCTTGGGCTGGGGAGCAGGGATCCGATCAGACATCACACATTTAAGTGGAGAGCAACTCTATCTCGGGGCCGGACCCAGATCATCTTACATTATCCATGAATTATTAGGAGGATTGGTTCCAAAACAAGGGACGGAGACGGCTTCGCCTACCAGTCACGCCTACTCTTCCTGGAATGGTGCGCGGCACTGACAGGCCCGTTGCGACCGGGCTGATGCTACCTCGTCGATTTTAGCTGGTTTGCTGGGCTGTGTCCAGCACAGAGCTTCCCAGAGATGCCGTGGGGAGGGAGGAGGGAAGGGAAGGGCAGGCTTGAGGGTGATGGATATATTTAGCAACAGCCAAGATCGTTCCGACGCCGCCAATCTAACCGACATTCCAGCCACTCCGCCTGAGCGCTCAACAGCATTTTCGCTTCTTTGTTTCGCTCATTCCCCCATCGGTTGACTCTCATACTATATGTTCGCACCATGTGGCATTTTCGGCCGTGACTGTGACACGCTGACCATGGTCAATTGGCCGATCTTGCCCATGCGAGAACATCAAACGTGCTTTTTGGCTAAAAGTCTCAATCGGCTAGGTGCCTGCTAGCAACACCCTTGACCAAGTCGCGGCACGATCTGCATTATAAGAAATGACCGCAGCCAATGTCAGCACGCAGTGATTGGCCCCATCTTCACCACTCCCTGTGCCATAACGTGCTACCCTTCCCCCCGAGAAATAATATCAAGGGGTAGATGGGGCAGACGAGATTCTGTGTCTCATGGACCCGGACAGGTCTTGTTTCGTCTTTGTGGCACGGCCAAGGCATGGATCTGCCTGTGTAAGCTCTGCTTGGAGTAGGTATGTATGTCGCAGCAAAAAGTCCGATCCAATACTCTCTTCTTCGGCCCTCGCATCCTCAACCGACCCCGAAGCTGTGATACTAGTGCTACGTACCTGCATCTAGCCGGGTTGCCTTGTGACCAGGATCTCACGGTGTGGCTGCCAGAGCAACACACTAGACCTAAGATTGGATACCCAAGGGCTTATTGCCTGCAAATAGAATCTCTCGTTGGTGCCAAGTGATGCGAGGGCTGAGCTGGTTAGCGCTGATGGCTTGGTTGTGTTTGCGAACCCTCACAGCCTTTCGTTCTCCGCGATCCGTGGTTTGCGACCTCGCAGCACAGTTGTCCGTCAGCCATGCGCACGCACCAGCAACAGCCAACGCATGAAGCTTGTTTGCCGTCTCAGCCAAGCTCAGCCAAGAATCTATAGATTGGTTATGGGCAACGGCCGAGGATTCAAACGCTGTAAGTTGCATCCATGCATGAGCCAGGGGGCCGTCGGCGACCATTCAGTAATGTGACATCTCGAATTAATGACATCGCTGTGGGAAATTAGACGCTGTCGTAGAAGGTGAAGATCACCAACAACGAATCCGTCACAGTCCCGACAATATTGATGCCTTGCCAATAGGGCATTATTTTGCGCCCCAAATTCACTCTCTTATCTAATCCAACAACTATTGCTTACTAACAATGCTATTGCTATAAATAAATCTCCTGTAGGGTAGGCAGTGCAATAGGCACTTACTAAGCCGTCATACGTCAAGCTTAGCGGCACGGCGCATTTGCGACACGGCGACTTCATTGGTGATTGAGTTAGAGGTCAACGCATCAGATCACAGTATCGAAACGCCTTGCATCCGCAAACGATCATCTCTGCGCATCTCAACCGATACGTTAAACCCCATACACCTGCCCGTCATGAAGCCCATCGTTAGTGCCGGAAATGCATGGTCATGGTTCGTTCTCCCTTTTGCCGCGTCACGGCCAAAAGCCAATCTCAGCCTCACTCGAGCTCTGCCTGGCACCGGTTGCTAACCAAGCCAAATCGCATCAGCACTGTCGTCTCGGTGTTCGCCATCATCATCCTCAGTATCATCGCCGTCCTCTACCGCAGTGAGCACGAGGAGTTCCCATCCAAGGACCCCAAGGGAGTCTCGGGAACCATCTTCACTGCCGTCATCGTTTACGCTGTACGTCTTGTCCGACCAAAACCACCCGCCCCCTACTGTCGAGTCACGAACGAGATATTTCTAACAATTCCCATCATGTAGGCCTTCTTCGTGTGCTGCGGTCTCCAGGGTCTTCTCCACGTCCGCGAGAGCCGACGCGGCGCCATCACTCTATCGTAGAAGAACAGGCAACCATTTACATGCATCTACCACCGATCGGGCGAGCGCTTCAGTCCATCCGACACTGTTATTTTTAGTTTCATAGGTATCATGGCGTTTTAGGAATGCAACATGTTTCTACTTTCTTTGCCATTGTTTTTGCAGCAATCTTTACGCTCAAGAGTCGACGATACACTCGATCTACACCAGCCAGCCAGTTGTCGCGGGAAAGTAGAACACTCCAGCAAGGGCAATTAGATGGGATGAGGGCGAACACTCTTTGGGCGCTTTGTTTATTTATGTACCCAAGAGCAGACATTTTGACAGCTGCTGTAGTCTCTAGAATAGACGATCATCAAAAGGTACCAATATTATTTCTCTTACTTTCGCAATGATCAACCCAACCCAGGTTATGTAGGTTGATCCATGTTGGACCGCCACGTGCATTCTGCAAACGACCTCGTTAGGCGCGTTCTCGTTAGTTGCACATATACAGTGTTCTTGCTGGACTCGAAGGGTGGTTTCACGATCAAGGTTGCCGGCATTGTTTCAGAAAGCTTCAAGTATATTTGTCCTACATTACATAACAGGCAACGGCAGATGAGAGTGTGACTGTACGAAGCAAACATGTGAGAGCAAGGAACTACTGTTCCCATATATTAGTATCTTGGTTTTGCCGATATCAAGGGGTGGCATGGATCCCGTCCTCCTTATTCCTCTCTTCAAGCCTCCTCGCTAGCCTTGTCCTGGCCAGGCTCTATCATCCTCAGCTTCTCTTGAACACTCTGGGGAATAACAAACGGCCGCTCCTCAGGAACAAGTCCACGGGCAACAAGCTGCTCAGTTGAGATATCTGGCTCCTCGTTCAACACCCTTTTCAGCTCCCGCGCCTTGTCAGTCACATCCTCAATGCCGGCAATCCATTCCCGGGCCCAGGTATCGCTCAAGGCGCCCGGAATGCCGATCTGGATGCTCCGGTACGGCAAGACATCCAGCGCAGGCGTCCGTTCAGGATCCCACTGGATCCTGACATCACTGGTCTTTTGGCGCGGCCCGCCCGTGTTACTCTGGGAGGGCTGCACGTGCGTGGAGAGGACCCCTCTCTCCAGCAGACCGATGAAGTCCTGGTGCTTCATCTTGATGGCGAGGATGCGGCTTTGGCGATCGTCCTTGTACGAGTAGCCGGCCCTGTACATCATCCAGCTCCAGCTTGGCTTGACCCAGGTCATGCGGCCGGGTTTGAATTCCGGCGAGGCGTTGAGCTTCTGGTTCGCTACTGCCGCCTCGGCGATGGAGGTCTTGTAGGCTTGGTAGACGGTGATGTAGGTCTCATCGTAGAGTGCTCTGATTTGGCGATATGGTGTCTGGGCGACCTCTGTTTCCATTATAAAGGAAAACAATATCGATAGGTCAATAATTAGACAATTAGTCAACAAGCGATAATATAGGTGGTCAGATATTTGATTCGAGTTGCGAGATTACTGAGTGCGACTACCTGCGTGCTATCTTGCTTGTTTTTCTATTACTCGAGTCTGGCAGTCCCTATACTTGGGTAGGTAGACAGCTGGGCTGAATCACCACGGCGAGTGTGAGTCTTTCACCGTTGGTGGCATTTATAAGTTGCTTCAGCCTCAGCTAGCTTGGTGGGGGATCCCGACATCTCATAGGGCAATAGATTCATTATGGCATACACTCTCTAGGCTGGCTGAGATTTCCTTGTCATGGATGCATACCCACCTGCTAGATGAGATAGTCGTCACAAGATTCCTGTCTGCCAGGGATAACGTTGACGAAGGGGTCCATGTGAAGGGCGAGTGTAGAGCCAAACAATGGCTGCAATGGCCCGCTTTAGTACATGTTAGAGACGCAAGTGCCCAGTAGGCTGATCTGGATTGTTTCATGTGGTCACCGCATCGCATCAGGGTCCAGGCAGGACGTCAGCTTCGGTCTCAGCTACATGTAGACATCGCATCTCATTGCATCTGATACCACGTACCGCTCCGTTCGTCCTCGATGTATTTTCTTCCTCCTCACGGATGCACACAGCCTGAAAACTGGTTTCCGCGTGAATGAAGACGTAGAGCGTCACGCGGGCATCACTGGGCGGCTCGAAGTACATGGTGCCAAGTACCGGCGTAGCATCAGCCCGGTCACAGTCCATATTAAATTCACACATGATACATGGCACAGCGGGAAGGAAGGTACTTGTGCCCCACCTCCCCTCAGCACCGCCGCTATTATTATCTGCTGCTGTTAATGCCACTATTACCGCCTCTTGCCTTGGGACCTTCTTATCGACTTATCGAAGCGCACCTATCTCGAGCTTCACCATTCAGACTGGCAGGCCAGATACACGGCGTCTCAGCTTCCCGATCCTCCAGAGCTGTCTTCTTGTACGCAATCGAAAGAGAAATAAAGGACGTCAAAACAAGAACCGGGGTTCATCGTGACGCTTTTGCATGTCTCCTCCAGAGCAACCGGCATTCCTCGTTAGCCAGCAAGGCACTACCGACGAGCCGGCCAACATCAAGTCAGATGAAGCCGTGAGCATGGCACAGAACCCCTCCGAGGGGAGGCCGCCCGCCATCGATATCAACGGCGGCAGCTCCGCAAAGCGTTCGGCTCAAATCTCCAGGGACACGGAGGATTTGATCGACCTGGACAGCGATTCAGACCTGCCACCTGCTCCCGCCAAAGGCAAGGCGGCCGTAAGACCCGAACCCGTGCCCAGCACCCCTCCAACCATCCCCGCAGACAAGAAGAGATCATCCACCGACGCCTCAAGTCAGTTTCTTGCTCCCGAGTCTCATTACGTCGACCCGACGCCACCTACACCCGTCACCTCTCAGCCCCCGTCCCGAAGCCCATCCAGCGGTGCCCGTTCGCAACGTTCCAACACACAATCACCCACCAGATCAGATCCCGAATTCGATGAGAGGAGATATGCCAGCGAAGATGAACAAGAAAATGGATCCAAGCTGGAGATCAAGACCATCATGGACCAGTTTAGCTCCGGTGACGGGGGTCCTGGCGCCGACGAGGTCATGAGCCCGAGACTGGAGATTGCTTCGCCCATGCTTGGAAGCCCGGTATCACAGCACCCTCCGCGTAAATCCAGCCTTGAACCTCTTGCGCCTACGATCGCAGGGCAGATGGGGGAGGATTTCAAGAAATTGAAACTAGCGACCACATCTCCAAGTCAGGACGCCGAAAAGAGCCAAAGCGATTTCGACGATTCAGGGCCTCCAGTTCCCCCCAAAGATGGTTCTTCTGGGACGCCCAAATCTAAAGACGAGAGGAGCTCGAGTATAACCTCGCCAATATCACCTACCGTGACTGGCCATCGGCCACCTCCTCCGGAACCGGAGCCGGAGCCAGCCCTTCCCTTTGATTTCCACAGGTTCCTCGAGCAGCTCCGTAACAAGAAGGCCGACCCTGTTGCTAGATATCTTAAGTCGTTTCTATCTGAATTCAGCAAGAAGCAATGGATGGTGCATGAGCAGGTGAAGATCATCAGCGACTTCTTAGCATTCATTGCCAACAAGATGATGCTGTGCGATGTGTGGAGGGAGGTTTCTGATGCCGAGTTCGACAATGCTCGCGAGGGCATGGAGAAGTTGGTAATGAACAGGTTGTATACCCAGACATTTTCCCCAGCCATCGCCGCTCCGAAGCCTATCCCGGGTGGCAAACCAAAAAGAAGAGGCGGCGACGCTCCCCTTGGCCCCGGTCGTCGTGGGCAGCATCAGGAGGACGTGGAGCGCGATGATATCCTAGCTCAGAAGATCAACATATATGGCTGGGTAAGGGAACAGCACCTCGATATACCCCAAGTTGGAGAAAGCGGGAAGCGGTTCTTGAAACTCGCACAACAAGGTAGGTCTCCTCCGAGTTTTCCGAATGCTTACCACAACTCATATGCTGACCAACCCAGAACTGCTAAAGATCAAATCATACCGGGCACCACGAGACAAGATAATATGCGTCTTAAACTGCTGCAAAGTCATTTTCGGTACGAAGCAACCTAACTATACAGACCTTCTAAATAAGGGGCCAGTGCGAAATCAAGCTAACGTTTTCGACCCATCCACTTAGGTCTCTTAAAGCACAACAAGTCTGATTCATCGGCTGATTCATTCATGCCGATGCTCATCTATGTTGTTCTACAGTCGAACCCGGACCACCTGGTTTCGAATGTTCAGTATATACTACGATTTCGGAACCAAGAAAAGCTTGGGGGAGAAGCGGGCTACTACTTGTCGTCCCTCGTAAGTTAACACGATGTCACTTGAGGTTACCATACAAGTACCAATCTCTGACACCATATAGATGGGTGCTGTTCAATTCATTGAAAACATGGATCGCACAACACTCACCATCACCGACGCTGAATTTGAGGCGAATGTGGAGGCTGCCGTATCTGCAATCGCGGAAAAACACCAAGCTGCCAATTCTCCTCGCATACCTGATCGTAACCAACAGGTCTTCAATGAGAAATCGCCCCTCAGTCCAACGGAACCCGCACCAAGGCGCTCTCGCGATGATCAAACCAGAAAGTCATATGAATCCACCAACAATGACACAATGGCCATGGGCGGCCTCCTAAAGACCATCCAGAACCCACTCTCCACCATTGGCCGAATCTTCTCTGACGACGGCGGGCAATCATCTGCCCCTAGCCCGCCCGTCCCTCCTGCGACTCCTCGACCACCACACCCAGGCTCAACATCACAGCGGCCTTCCTCCCGGCACGCCCTGTCAGCAGAAGAAGCCGCTGCCAGGCAAGCAAGTGCCGAAGCAGCCGAGGCACAGAGACTCCATCGCGCTGAGCATGCCAACGTAGTCGAGACTCTCTCCGGCATGTTCCCAGATCTGGACAAAGAAATCATTAGTGATGTGGTACACCAGAAACAGGGCAGGTAAGCATGACCAGATCCCATTTTCATTTTTATTCCCTTTTATTCGTCTCCGCCCTACATAACCCTATACCCCCTTTTCTCGCCAGTACTAACGTACGTGCTTCTCAGGGTCGGGTTAGCTGTCGATGCTTGTCTTGCATTGTCAACATAGGATTAGCCAGGCGCGTCACCATCAAGTTTCATCGCCCCAACCTCTCCGCCTCCCCTATTTCCCACCGTTTATCCCCCGGTTTTATTTATTTTACTCTTTCCCACAAGCATAGCTCTGGCGTGTTTTTTTGGAGGAAGCGGACAAGGAATGGTCCGAATCGGCGCCAACATGATGTTGTAGATAGACTCTTTGGAACGTGAAGCAGCCGATGAAGCAAGGTCAGGCTGTAAACAAGAATGGCGGTATTCATCTAGTCAGCATTATTTTGCATTGGGTTGGGTATGGTTAGTAGTAGGGTTCATGCTGCTTCCCTTCTTCTGGAGAGGACCAGTTGTCCCCCCCTCGGGATCTCGACGTGCGTGGAATCAAGTCCACTGCCTAATGAAAGGAAATATCAACCCATTCTATTGACTTTCTCTCTAAAGTTTAAACCTCGTATATCCTGTGAATACCGTGTATCATATGGGATTAATATAGCACAGCATGCTACAAGATGCCGTTCATTCCCAAGATACCTCCGTCGCTAACATTCAAATATGGCCAAAGTGTTTACAAAAGATACATATGTACATATCCAAATCCTAAGGGGGACTCCAAATAAATAAGATTTACCACCCACGGTAACCTCGAGCCCCATCCATCGAGTACTGGTACGCTTGTCCACCGTTGTTGTGGGGTGAAGTGAGATTCCTGGAGTTCTTCTGGGAGGCCATGGACCAGCGGTTCGCGTCGGTCGCGTAGTAGTGGTCCGGGGTGTCTGGCCGGCCCGAGCTGTGGTCGAGCATCTGGCGGTGGCTGGTGGCGATGGAGATGACGGACTTCCTGTCCGAGTGCTTGTGGCCGGCGATGATGGAGATTCGGCCGTCCAGGGGGGTGAGGGGGGTGAGGTCGTCCATGTCGTGTTGCATTTTTTCTATAGTTTCATATTAGCACATGTTTCAATGTGGGGAGGACTGATAGCACAGCATTTCAGATGTGATAGCAATGGGATCAGGGGGAATAAAAGACTTACCGGCCTCCTTTCTCCTCTTGCGATGCTTGTTCGTCTCGCACATGGCCATGAAGACGTGCGCAACAAGCAGCAGGGCCAGCACGCCCGTCAGGGTGGACTGGACGGCGATGAGCGCCACTCCCGTGACCGTCTTGGTGTCCTGGCTGATGCCGAACTCCCTGACAAACACCAGGACGCAGACGACGGAGAGGACGCGCACGACCTGGATGACGATGTTGAGGATGTTGTGCGACTTCTCCTCGAAGGGGCGGCTCCAGAGGAGCAGGCCGAGCATGATGGCCTCGACGATGAGGATCGCGATCGTCTGGCTCTTGCCCGCGCCGTCGCCGGCCGCGATGACGATGCCCTTGACGGCCATGTACACGATGAACGGGACGAAGACCCACCAGTAGTCTCGCTTGTAGCTGTCGTAGAAGATGGAGTACTTGGTCCAGGTCTCCTTGTCGTCGTAGAGCGCGCCGGTGTGGCCGTCCCGCTCCTTCATGATTCGCACGGCTCTCAAGATCCTCCAGGAGAAGAATGCGAGGACAGAGGTGAAGATGGCGAGAGTGACGGCCGCGAGTGTTGTCGCGGCCCAGGAATCGCCGCGCGTGAACTGGAAGACGCAGTAGAGCACCCAGATACCATACAGCATCAGAATCAGCATGGTGATGACTCGGCCAATCGAACCCCAGTAGTGCTTCCGAAAACCAGCAAGCGATTGTGGGAAAGATCCAAACTTGGCCCAAAGTTCGAGTATACCTTTGAAGAGGACCATGAAGAAGACAATGCCGGCGATGATGATGGCAACGATGAGGAGAATGGTCATGAAGATATCAGATCCGGGTACGCGAAGCTTCTCAGCGAATGCCTTGATGCCGGAAACGGTCTGGCTAACACTGTCGTCGGACCGGAGCTCCAGATCTCTAACAGCCAAAAACTCGAACTCCTCGAAGGCTCGCTTTGTCTGAAACAGGCCACCTCCTGTAGTGTTCTTCAGGTAGGGAACGCTGTCCTCAGTAAGATTTCCGCCTGTCTTCGCACGGAAGTCGTCGATGGCCCGCTGCACGGGTTCCCAAGCAACCAGGCCAGCGCTGAATCCGAAATTCTGGGCGAAGCTTTGGTACACGGGAGGATAGTCGACCGACAGCATGCCGTTCATCGCCATGCCCTGGAACCAGCCAACCATCTCCGTCAGACCAGGCGTGATCGGCCCAGATCCCGGACCGTACACGGCGGAAGTGATGGCGGATGCACCAGAGGCGAGTACCGACGCAGCAATGACACCACCGGCCACGTACGAGACAGCGGGCAGCTTCGTCGTCTTTCCATTGGTCACCTCAAGCTGAATGCATGCCACAACCTCCTGCGTGCTGTTGTCCTTTAGTTTGAGCGTCCCCGTGGCCGAAATGTCGGGAACCTGAAAAGCGATGTCGGGGACCTGGCTCTTACCCTCCTCCGGAACGGTTTGTGATCCATGGGCGATGAATTCCTGCTCGGGGAGGGGGCAGAGCTGCTCTATAAAGTTGGCATCGCTACACGGGTCGAACTCGTTGTTGTAGATGTTTCTGCCGTAGGCCTCGACCTCCAGCTCGGCGCTCACGTAGCGGGACCCGGAGCTGGAGCCAGACACATCGAACGAGATGGTGCCCTTGTCGTGGTTGTAACTGATGTACGCCTTCTGCACCTTGATATAGGATTCATCCGAGCACATCTTGAAGCCGCTCGTCTCGATGATCCTGTCCGCCACCACACCCGAGGTCAGCAGGCCGGCGACAAGCCCGAGCCTCCACCCGCTGCGCATGTTGTGAAGGGTCACCATTGTCGTCGAGTTTCTATGTTGTCGTCGTAATGGCCAGTCGCAATATCAAGGATCGGTACTCGTGTAAGCGAGATGAGCCGTCTATCTGGCGTGTATGTCAAAAGGAAACGGAAAGGGAAAAAAAAAAAGCAGATGCTATGCCGAGAGATGTAGGAAATATATCGTTTAGGGCGCCAGGAAAAGGGACCGAAGAGTCTCCAAGGTCAAGTCTAAGGATTGGATATGGGTTGATGGTTGGTTGTAATTTGTGGCCGGAGACCAAAAGTATTAATCAGGTAGTATTGTTGAATCGTGTCCCGGGTCAACCTAGGATCAGGAAAAAAAAGAGAATTGAAAGGCAAATCAAAGAGAAAAATGGTGGACTATATCGAGGCCCTTTGGGAGAAGCTTGGCCAGCAGCTTCGCCGTATCGGATCTATGATGAAAGCTCCCAACCGCAGTCGTGTAGCGGAACAGGGAGCTTGATGCACACAGGGAGAGAAGGGAGGTACCACCGCGGAAGAAGAGCAATGATATTCGCAATTGGGATGGAGAGTGAGCGTGAGCGCTTGGATTAACAAGTCATATACGGTTTTACCAAGCGAGTGAGGATGAGCGAGAGTGAGAGCGATCGAATACAGGGAAAGAAGAGGAAAAGAACAAAGCAGGAGGCGTGGCGTAGAAGAAGAATCACGGCCGAGCACAACTTACAAGGAAGTGCACATCTACAATGCAATGTACGTACTCGGAACCCTGCTGGCTCGGCCGTCGACTTACCTGCAGTAGGGAGGTGGCCGTCCTCGCCTGTAGGGATGGTGATATGAGCATCAGTGGAATATTCCGGCCCTCTAGCGGCAGCCCGTCGTGTTTAGCACCCGCGAAGCTCTGAGAGCCGCAGCTAATTGGCAGCTGGCCAGCGAATCCCTGAGGAACAGAACCGAGCTGGGAAACGATGGACGGCATCCCCTGTGGCCGCTCACCACTAAGGGGCCAGCGCCGGGTTGCTTTAGGATTTTAGGTAGGGGCAGAGGGCCCGCTGCAGCCACGCCGCCGACGGCCTTGGCGGCCAGGTCCACTAACGCCCAGGGTCTGTTTCCACTGTCCGCATTCCACGGCTCGCGGTTGGCACTGGACCGACCGCTGCAGCATTTATCCTCGTCCCAAGTCCAGTGGCAGGAGGACATCTGAAGTCTGAGGCTGGGGGCAGGGGCCGCGTGCAGCCGAGATGAGGCGAGGAAAAGGATCGAGTGATACAAGCCTGTCTGTCAGTCGGCCGAACCTTCATCTCCAGACAGAATAGTACCAGAACAGAATAACAAACACCCAAGCTCACGTCACGTCGAGGATCGTGGCGCTTCGAGTCCCCGTCCCGGCTCCCATTGGCCGTCGCCACAGAGATCCCTCCCGCCCCAGCTCGTGAAACGAAATAAGCTCCACCTCAACTGTGGCAGTGTCGCCCCTAAACCAGGCATACGGCTAGCATCAACGTCCCGTCATACAGTACGCAGCACTATGTAAGTCGAGCCGATATTACTAACGCGAAATCAAAGGCCTCCGTTGCAAAATTCATGCGCATATTCAGGGTCATTGCTCCGTCAAGAAAGCATTGTTCATCTTTTGCTCTTTCTAGATTCCTACCGTTCTCGCCCCGTCCGAACTTCCTCATTCTATTCTTATATATAAAGCCACAGTACTGTTGTTTCGTCCTGTCTCAGCTCGGACCGCGAAAGGGGTCAGTCCCCGCCAACACCTGAGTTTGCTGTTATCCATTCAACAGGGGGTAATCATGCAATCTTCCATGTCACCTCGATAGTTTGCAGGACCAAAAATATACGGTAAGAGTAATCCTCTGAGAAGGTTGTAGATGCAACATCAAATCCATTGTAAGACTAGAAAGCTCGATGCCAATGTTCAAAGCGCCCACGCTAAGAGAAGAGGACAAGTTAAATCGAGAAAGACGGGGGGACCAAAAAGGAGAAGCAAATCGTCGATCGCTCTCAAGAATACGATGGTAGCTGGAGGAGGTCTTGCGGGGGCATTGCCAACCCTGCCCTGTCACTCAAATGATGCGCTCGTTTCATCACAAGCTTTAGTCCCAAATCAGACCATCGTTGAAAGAAATATTTCCTACCGAAGCCCACAGGCGCCCGTTTCCTTGATTCGCCATGATAGAAACAAAATCCGCTTTGCCAAATCACCAACAACAAG